AAATGGGTTTTAAAAAAGCCACAGCTTATAGAGGATTCACTTTCTGAGTCATTCTTCTGCTTCTCAGCTATAATGCAATTAAAGGTTATATACTGTATATGTGTATCGTAAACCCTGTCATGTGGGAGCAGTGCCAAGGCTTCAGTGAATTTCTAAGTGGAGTGAATCCCTCTGACACTTGATCACTGAAGCATTCGTTGGTGATGAGAGTGAGGACAGATTTTTGTCGACTGCAGGCTCGTCGTGACGGAGAGTGGGAAAAAAAAAAAAAAAAATGTTTTTTTGTGACAAACCCTCCAAACCAAGTCCTTTGAACAGCCTCCGAATCACCACATTGACTGTAAGTTTGGTGCAACATCGCCATCTGCTGATTGATGAAACCTGTAGGGGTTGACAGCAACTGAGAAGAAAAATATGACCACCTGCGTCAGAAAGGACTTGATTCAAGAGGTGTTTGATAAAGATTTGTTTGATTTTAACTGTGTGACCACTTACACACAGGAAGGAGCAAAATATCAGACATGCATTGTAGCTGCTTTAAACAGTATGTTTTATTATAAAAGTCAATATAAGGTAATATAGAAGGTGTTGCTTGTAGATGTGAACCCACAGAGAATTCTCTCAAACTCTACAGCTCTGTGCTGGAGCTTTTTAGCCTCTTATAGCTTACAGTTTGGATTCTGCTGCATTTACTGTTTGCTTCAGACCGTATTTCCAGCAACAACAAGCTGCTGTTTTCTGCACACAAGCTGTAAAAGAAACCTGACACTCCCTGTACACAGCCAGATAAACTGGTGACAAAACTGGACTGTCTAGCGGCTATTTTTATCATGAGTTGGTGGAGACCAAACCAGAGGTATCAGGAGAGAAAGGACTCGATACTGAAAAGGTTTCATTTTTCACATTACTTTTTACACATATCTACAGAACCCCTCAGTGGCTCTAGAGCAGGGGTGTCAATCTCAAAAACACAGTGGGCCAAAATTTAAAACCTGAACAAAGTCGCGGGCCAACATTGAACAAATGAACCTTTTAATATGGACCGAAACAAATTTTGCTTTAACATTGAATATGGAACAAGCAACGCTTATTCCCATACATTATATATAACTTAATAGTGGAGACATGCAAAATCAAATTATAAATAAAAAAACACATCAATGGCACAGTGACAGTTGTAGTGTGAAGTCACTATGCCTACTGTCACAGAGGAGAGGGAGTTTCTGGGTCCTGTCCTGATTGACAAGCCAAAACAACAACAGGGCATTATGGGATTTGTAGTATTAGCGGTGAATGCGCTGTACAGTATAATACCGGGGGCAGCTCCAGTAGTCATTTGGTATTGTCTCGCGGGCCAAATATAATTACAAAGCGGGCCAAATTTGGCCCGCGGGCCAGAGTTTGACGCCCCTGCTCTAGAGGGAAAAAAAAAATGCGTGGCCACGAGATAACGCGTGGCCATGAGTTAAATTATCTCATTCGCTCATTATTAACTTAAGGTAACGACTTATCTTGTTCCCACGCATTATAGTTTTTTTTCACCAATGTCACTTCCAGAGTTCAGTAAAGTTGGAAGATGTTCAAAGATTCGAGCTTCCAGCATCAATAGCTCCAAAGTGAATGGCCACACTTTATTTTTTTCCTCTATGGCCACTCAGGGGTTCCCTACACATCGAATAATGACAGGAACATAGTAAACTGTTACATTTAACATCTCACAACTGTTTCAGTATTTGTTAAAAAAAAAAACAAAAAAAAAAAACACTTTATCAGTCTTTGTTCCTGTATACAAGGTTTGCAATGCCAGTCACCATCTCTACTGATCTTCAAAATCAACAATCTCTACCAGTCTTCAGGATCAATAGTCTCCACCAGTAGAATCTCCAATGATGTATATGTCATGGCAGAGACTGCGATCAGAGACTGCATGAGTAGATATAGCATATATATATATATATATATATATATACATATATATTTCACTTTTTTGCTGTGGCAAAATATATATATATATATATATATTTTTTTTTTTCCCACAATTTTACAAAGTTGAGCAACAAAATGGACAGTGACAATTTTGGCATCATCTGGTGCATGTGTTCAATATGGGGAAGGACCTCTGTTGTTGAGCTGTTACGTGCACCTTCAAAACACAGAGATAGATAGATAGGTAGATAGATAGATAGGTAGATAGACAGATAGAACTTTCTTGATCCCTTTGGTAGGGTACCTCAGGGAAATTGTTGAAGGAGGAGCCAGTTCATCAAATTCAACCTTTATTAGATCATTGTACAAACATAAGTAAACCTAAATTATACCCAATCCTAGAACTGGACCAAGGACATACTAAATGTGTCACCATTACAAAACAGCGTCATAATGAAAATACTAACAATGAGCACATGTACTGTGGCGGAAAATGTACTTTCATTGTTTAACGTTTTTTTACAGCAGACACTTGGACTCGTTATAGGTGGAATAACTGATGACCGGGGTCTATAAAGCTCTTTAGTAAACTATGACAGAAAACCAGCAGCTCTAAGAGGAATGCAACATCAATACACCTCTGATTTGATCTGGGACCAGTTCAAATACCTGCAACATTATTAACATCATTAAAACTGTAAAACAGTGAGTATTGAGCATACATTCACACTGATGGTTGTTGCTGCCTGTTGTTGTGAGAGACAGTGACTTCAACAGGCTGCTATCATCTGATGAAGTATTAATATGCTGTCTGTAGTTAATTATCACCATCTCTGAGCTGAGCTGCCAAAATCACACCATGACTCAATTAAACAAATCAGCAAACAAGCAAAGAGTTGGTTTTACAGCAGCTTTCATTAGATGGCCATTTGCTGTGTTTAATGATTAATTCAAACATAGTTTTTCTCAGTTTAGCAAGTTAACAACAGCTTTGTTGTGCAAATGAAGACATCAGAAATGTTTATGAGGTCAAATGATTCACGATCAGTACTCACGTTGTAACTTTCTTCCATCATGGCAAGAAAAAATGCTGTTACTTCCTTTGGCACACCACGGGTCCTAAAAGTGTGGTCCTGAGAGTGCAGCCTCCGGCTCTGCAGGCATACCCCACTCACATATCCAGATGTTGTTTTACGGCTTATTCTGCTGCCCCCAAGTGGCATTAAACAGTCACAGGTTTAAACTTTGTTTACCAGCACTGGTCAGTTCTCCTCAGCTTTTGATAACAATTCTAAATAAAGTCTGTTGTATTGTATGTCTTCTGTGGCTCTGAGGGAGAAAATATCCCTGATGTTGTCATTGTGGGTTTGGAGACTGCAAATTAATAAAAGAAAACCTGCACTCCAAACTGGAGGTTTGGAGTTTGATAGACAGGGCTTAATGAACACTGCCATCCAGTTGCACCATGGGAAATTTAAGATCCAGCATTTTAGAGTTGGGCTCATATAAAAGACTAAAACTCAGGATGTCTGGTCCTCTGCTGGATTACTTCTGACCTCAGATTTACATGTGTCTCTAAATCCAACAATATATTACTAAATCATTTTTAACCCTGAAATACATACCAGATGTTGTTAGTGAAACAGCATTATACTACACCCTGTCTAATTCATTCTGATGTTCACCTCAAACTATTTATCTTTTACAATTCTCTGGTGTCAAACTGTCAAAAATGCCTACCTCAGCATCTGGGGTGTGTTAGAATGTTGTTGTTTTTTTGTTTGTTTTTTCCCCACATAAGTCGATGCAATTGAAAGCAGGCAGTGTTGTTTTCTTTCAATTTGTCCTCATCATGGAGTTGCTGTGTTGGGGCAGACACAAGGTGGCGTGAATGTTTACAGGAATCAGCTCAGGTTCTTTATTTTCCCTTCACATTGGATCTACAGAGGGCGGTTACTGTAGTCAGAGTATGCACAAAGTTTCGCTCTGCACATCGCTGCACTGCAAATGGCTTACTCTTACTATAAATAAATACAGACAGAATGCTGAACTGACCTGCTTTTATGAGCTTACTGTCCCAGTAACATAATGATGCAGCACCTGGGTTACACACCTCGTGCAGAACAACATTTGCTTTGATACTGGATGACAACAGCTCTTCAAATGAAAAATGTTCCTCAGGCCACTGACGCAGTTACTTTGTGTACAAGTAGAACTAAAGCAGAATGATGAGTTGGGACTGGTAAAGATATCTATTGCAGTTACCTCAGCTATCTTGACCTGGCAGCTATAAATATACAAGTAGTTTTCAAGGCTTCAACTTGAGAAGCCAGAAGATCTCAGAAGAACATTGACCTTCAGTTGGTGTGACCACAGCTGGTGAAAAAGAAAGACGTGCTACAACTTCCACAAGCTGATAGATGATCTGAAAATGTTTTTTTTGTCCAGAATCAGAATGAATTCTGCTGCACATCTGTGCTGCAATAACCACAAGCAGGTTTCTGTCTGCTGGGCCAATAAATTTGGCTTCTGTAGGTGTTACTCTGAGAAGTTACAGTCGGCTGTGTGCAAGAGTATAAACGTGAAAAAAAATTCTTCTGAATTATTGTTAAAGATTAGTTCTGAATGTACAGTATGTATATTGAAGTGTTGTTTAAAAAAACAACAACAACAAAAACACACCGCTGAAAGGATTTTTTCCGTTACCTTGGCAACAGCTCCTTCATTGGAGACATTCAAGGCTGAACACTAAATGCATCTGTTGTCTCATTGCTGGGATAACGCCTGCTCAGGAAGGAGGGCACTCACTCCAGCATTTTGAACATGTGATTAATGTTGCACATGTCAGTGTCACTGAACGTACACCGGACCTTCAATTGGTCCAGATGGCTACTTGCATGGCAGCAGTGTGAGTGGGTGAATTAGAGGCTTTGTCCTACTCAGCTTGATATCTCGGTATATAGGACATCCATTATGCATTGTACTTGGTAATTTTGTCAAAACACTGATGTCATAATACACTTAAAAGGAACCTTGACTCAGCATTTTTTGTTTTTGTCCCATTTGTCCATCAGCCCGGGGCCTTCTTGAGGATCTACAACCTGCGAGTAATCCCAGGATCCAGTAGAGTCCCGGGCCTCTCCAGCAGCCAATCAGTGGAAGGGGATCACCTGGCTTTTTACCTGCATGGAGGAACCTCATTTGGCAGAGGGATCCGCGTTCTCCCAGAAAACTGCCCTGACGTACAAGAGCTGAAGAGGTACGGCAAGTGATAAGGGACAAATACACAAAGTCATGGGAAACCTTCATTACTGCACACTAAGCTCTGGTTCTGGTTGTCCTGCATTATAGGACCAGGAAACGACAAAAGTAACCAGAGTGTAGACAAGGTGTGTGTAGTCACACTCCTATATTGGCAACCATTTATTCAGATCAGGCCAGTGTGCACCATTGGGGAATATTTAAAAATAAATACTTAAATAAAAAGTTGTCATAGTTTAGATAAAGACTACTCACTGTAGTGCTCTCACAGTATTTCATTCGTAAATGCAGTTCACCATTTTAGTCACTTGAAGGCACTTTTTGGGCACAACTGCTATTTTTAAAAGTCACATTGTGTGTATATATATATATATATATAGAGCCCCCTAAACTAAACAGTCTTATAGAGGTGATCAGTTCATCAAAGATCAAGACAGACAATTTATGTCTTCAGATCAGGTGTTTCTCAAACTTGTGTAAACACCACCTGCCTCCAGAAAAAAATGAAATAAATTATTTAAAATAGATTTAACATCTCTGTACCATTTGTTCTTTTCAAACTCAATTAAGAATCTGAAATTGGAATATTTGTTATATTTTATTTTATATAGTTATTTTGTTATATATTTATTAATTCACCTTTTTTTCTTTGTTTAAGTAAAAAAAAAAAAAAAAAAAAAAAAAAAGGGTCTTTGTGTGTTGATAATGTGTCGTGATGGCCTAACCTGATTCAGTGTATTAAATGTCAGCTTGGTCATCAGTAGAAGTGATATAAACTATATCAGCTGTAGTCTATACGTATCCGTTTTTGCATCAGGATCTTAAAATAGAAGATTCTGATGCACACCCTCATTCCTGAACCTGGTTATGAGATAGTTTTGTCATACTTACCACAAATGTTACTTTTGTATGTATACTGTGGCACATTTCAAAATTTGCCTTAAATCCTCTTGTAACACCGTTGTCCCTTAGCTCCATCTCCTTTAATATTACAGCATTATCCAACCCTCGAAATCTGCTTTCAGACAAAGTTGTGCGCTGGTTGTAGACTGTCGCCTTTTTTTTTTTTTCTCTCACTTTACAACACAAACAGCTGTTGCATCACGTAGCAGCAAGATTCAGGGACCGGGCGCTATTCACACTAATGCCACAGCAGCAGTCACTTCATTAATTATTCACATCTTCTGAGGTGTCATTGTGGTCTAATGTTCCCTTATTAACCACAATGTTTTCTTTGAAGCAAATAGCCAGGCTGCTGCACAAATTACCAGTTTTTACATTGTAGTTGTTGGAAACAAAGCAATTGTGTTCAAGATTAATCCAGCTATCTCTGAAGAATCACTATGTTTTTCTTGTCTATCAAGTGCATTTTTACAGGGAGTTTTCAGTTTTGCTGCTTCATCGCCATCGCCTACCAGCCCCATCTTGGTGTGGATGATGCCATCATCTACCTGCTGCAGTGTGCTCTCTCTCATTTGGGTGGTGTCGGGTGCACTGTGAGAATCACATTCTTTGACTGCTCTAGTGCATTCAACACCATCCAGCCATTTCTGCTGAGAGAGAAGCTGCAGGTGATGAGTGTAGACACGCCCACCGTCTCCTGGATCACTGATTAGCTGACAGACAGGCCGTAGTTTGTCCGTCTGGCCAGTGTGCTGTCTGATGTTGTAGTTAGTGGTACAGGAGCTCCACAGGGCATTATGCTGTCTCCTTTTCTGTTCACCTTATACACCTCTGACTTTCAGTACAACTCCGGGTCATGCCACTTGCAGAAGTTCTCTGATGACTCAGTAGCTGTAGGGTGTATAAGGGATGGACAGGAGGAGGAGTACAGGACTCTGGTGGGTGATTTTGTAGAGTGGTCTGGTAGGAATCATCTGCATCTCAATGTGGCCAACACCAGGGAGATGGTGACTGACTTCCAGAAGAAGAGGACAGCTACACAGCCACTACACATCCTGGGTGAGGATGTTGCCATGGTGGAGGAGTATAAGTACCTGGGTGTCTGCCTCGACAGCAGACTGAACTGGAGGACCAACACTGACTATGTGTACAAGAAAGGGATGAGCAGACTCTATTTTCTGAGGAAGCTGAGATCCTTCAACGTATGCAGCAAGATGTTGGAGGTCTTCTACCAGTCTGCTGTGGCCAGCACCCTGTACCCTGCAGTGGTCTACTGGAGGAGCAGCATCAGAGCCAGTGATAAGAACAGACTGGACAAACTGATCAGGAAAGCCGACTCTGTGATTGGCTGCAAACCAGACTGTCTTGAAGCTGTGGTGGAAAGGAGGACTTTAAATAAGCTGTTGTCCATCCTTGATAACCCCGACACCTGCTTCACCCCCTGCTGGACAGACAGCAGAGCAGCTTCTCCAACAGGCTGGTCCAGCTCTGCTGCCACAAGGACAGATACAGAAAGTCTTTCCTGCCACAAGCACTAACCCTGTTCAACTAATCACCCCTGGTTGGCAGAGAGCTCTCAGCCCTCTCTGCATTGTAACACCCGGTGCCGTCATTGAAATTGCACACTTCTGTTGTACTCTTGTTTTGTTGCACATTATTATTTCCACTACACTCCACAGGGGACTTTTCTACTTGACATATTACGCTTATTGTACATTTTGCATTTGATATTTTCTTATTGTTTACTTTTGCTTATTTATCGGTATTTATGGTAGTGGTAACTTTATCTTTGTGCTGTAACAACCAAATTTCCTCTTGGGGATTAATAAAGTATTTATATATATCTATTAAATGCAACAATATTTGCAGCCAACCTCTCACATGTTCCAGTCTAACTCCAGGCCTCAATGTACTCACTGCTAGTTTATCAAGTAAACACATAGAATTTAGTAACTGCATTGCCACACAAATCAGACAGATTACGTATCAAAATTAAATCTGATCCATTGCACATTTTCTCATTTCCTCTTTTTGAGTTGGACGTAAAATCAAAAGCACAAAAAACAAGCAGTTGCTTATTTTTATGTGTTGGAGTCATAAATTAATTACAAAATGATGAATCTCATTTTCTGATTTTAGATTCTCAATAGGATTTGAAGGGAACAGAGATTCACATGTTTTAAACTTATTTATGTATTTGTTTGTTTGTCTTTGTTATTTCTTTTTTTTTGTGATTACCATTGCCCAAATGTGTCGGGGTCCTAAGTCTCATAACCAGAAGTCATTTTCTTTGTGTGTGTTTGTGTGTAGAGTCATGGAGGCCTTCTCAGAGGATGATGAACTGTCTGACCTGGATGACTCAGCGCTGTTGGAGGTCTGGAGCACTCCACCAGAGACGGCGGGTATGAAACAGACCTGCAGGTCACACTTTCTGGTGTCCTGCCCGGTCGGTAGCTGCAGTTCCTCTAATGGTCACTACATGCTGCTTCTGCTGCAGCCCAGATCTGACAATTAAACTTCTGTTTTTGTGGCGATTCTGGACTGTGCTTTAGAGATGCTTCTGTCTGTCTACCAGTTTGGTCCAGACAGTTTGCAGCAGTTACAGACTTAAAGGAAAAAAGGTATAGACATTTGAATTGTAACTGATGTGATTGCTTGTTTTTTTTATCCAGTGCCATCATCACTTAAAAGTTTTAACTGGTTGGACCACATGCTTGTAATTAGTACTTACTCGCAAAAGCTGGCATACCAAACTAAAACTGAACATGTTAGCATGCTGATAGACTTTAGCTCAAAGCACTGCTGTGCATGCGTACTGCTTCACAAGGCTGTGAGGTTTTCTAAAAAACCTCAGTGTCTACTGAATAAGAAATTTTGCATTCAGTATTTTCATTTTGTGACAAAAATACAAAAGAGAATGGTACGACCTGTGACTATCCACCATACTTTGATGAAATCAAAAAAATGTATTTCCCGACTGATTTTTTTCACTGATGAGTGGACGGGTATATGGATGTATGGATGGCTGGATGGAAGCTGCAGGGAACTGCCTCCATTAGCTGGATCTTCTAAAAGCCCACGCTTCGCTGAGGATGCAATAAAAGTCCAAACTTTAAATGTGGCCTGAAGGTTTCCACACAGACAGACAAACAGCTTGAAAAGAACTCTTCAAAATCTTTGAGACCAGACCTGCAGGCCTGATTTCTGTTGTGTAACAGATGCCATGTTGAACAAAATATTTACGGCACAGTTTCATTGCACAAAGAGAACGGATATTCTTTTCTTTATCAACATCAGTTTCTCCAGCCTATTGCCATTTACAGACTTAAGTCATTCATTCTAAACATGACTATGATCAAGCAGCCGCTTGCTTATTTTAAGCCTGTCTTACCTCTTGCTTGTTGATTTATCTGCTGGCTAATGTCAGTCTCTCTTCATGGTTTCTTTTTTTGTGTTTTAGATGGTGAAGCAGTGCAGTGCAGCACAGGTATGAAACACAGCAGTGCAGCAGCTCAACAGGTCTGATGGAAGGTTTACCAGTCCATATGTGTAACATGAAACACAGGCATCCTGTGGAAGCGTTTAAAGTACAGAGGATTACACATATCACCTAGTCTTTGAAATGCATTACAGGTCTTGAAAACTGTGTTTTAATAATAGTCAAAGTTGTAAATGTTCTAATTTACCATTTCTTGATTTTTTCTTTAGGATTTCTAAAATTGCTCTGACTACAGAGCTCAACAGTGATTTTCCAGTCTTTTGAATGTCAGCATTTTTCTTCTGTGCTTCTTTGTGATCAGAGAGGAGCTGCAGTCACGACATGCAGCTGGGGACTCTGTCTGAGCTGAAGCAGTGTGAATTGGGTCGAGTTCACCACGTCAGAGCCCAGCTGAGGTCCTATGAACCCCGCAGACTCTACCAGGCTCTGAAACTCTACTGCAGCAAGTGTACATCAATGTAGGCACACACGCTGAGTCAGGGCCACATTCACACCTGGTGGTAACAGTCAATCTTTATCTACAGTCGTGGCCAAAAGTTTTGAGAATGACACAAATATTAACTTTTCACAGGGTCTGCTGCTTCAGGGTTTTTAGTTGTTTTTGTCAGATGTTTCTATGGTCTACTGAAATATAATTACAAGCATTTCATAAGTATCAAAAGCTTTTATTGACAATTACACTGAGTTCATGCAACAAGTCAATATTTGCAGTGTTGACCCTTCTTTTTCAAGACCTCTGCAATTCTCCCTGGCATGCTGTCAATCAACTTCTGGACCACATCCTGACAGTTGGCAGCCCATTCTTGCATAATCAATGCTTGGCGTTTGTCAGAATTTATGGGTTTTTGTTTGTCCAACCGCCTCTTGACAATTGATCACAAGTTCTCTATGGGATTGAGATCTGGGGAGTTTCCTGGCCATGGACCCAAAATCTTTACGTTTTGTTCCCTGAGCCATTTAGTTTTTACTTTTAGTTTATGGCAAGGTGCTCCATCATGCTGGAAAAGGCATTGCTCATCACCAAACTGTTCTTGGATGGTTGGGAGAAGTTGCTCTGGAAGGATGTTCTGGTACCATTCTTTATTCATGGCTGTGTTTTTAGGCAAAATTGTAAATGAGCCCACTCCCTTGACTGAGAAGCAACCCCACACATGAATGGTCTCAGGATGCTTTACTGTTAGCGTGACACAGGACTGGTGGGAGCGCTGACCTTCTCTTCTCCGAACAAGCTTTTTTCCAAATGTCCCAGACAATCAGAAAGCGGATTCATCAGAGAAAATGACCCCAGTCCTCAGCAGTCCAATCCCTGTACTTTTTGCAGAATATCAGTCTGTCCCTGATGTTTTTTCTGGAGAGAAGTGGCTTCTTTTCTGCCCTTCTTGACACCAGGCCTTCCTCCAAAAGTCTTCGCCTCACTGTGCATGCAGATGCACTCACACCTGCCTGCTGCCATTCCTGAGGAGCTCTGCACTGGTGGTGGCCCGATCCCACAGCTGAATCAACCTTAGGAGACAGTCTTGGCACTTACTGGACTTTCTTGAGTGCACTGGAGCCTTTTTTGCAACAATTGAAGATAAGATAAGATAAGCTATGCCTTTATTTATTTCCCAGTGAAGAAATTCACAACCTCTGAAGCTCTCTCCTTGAAGTTCTTGATGATCCAATGGATGGTTGACTGAGGTGCAATCTTGCTAGCTGCTGTAGCTTCCCTGTTGAGCCCTTTTTTGTGCAATGATGACTGCACATGTTTCCTTGCAGGTAACCATGGTTAACAGAAGAGAAACAATGGTGTCAAGCACTATCCTCCTTTTAAAGCATCCAGTCTGTAATTCTAACTCAATCATGACAGGTTGATCTCCAGCCTTGTTCTCATCAACACCTACACTTGTGTTAACTTGAGAATCACTGCAGTGATGTTAGCTGGTCCTTCTGTGGCAGGGCTAAAATGCAGTGGAAATGTTTTTGGGGGGGGTTAAGTTCATTTTCAAGGCAAAGAGGGACGTTCCAATTAATTGCAGTTGATCTGATCACTCCTCATAACATTCGGGAGTACATGCAAACTGTCATTATAAAAACTGAAGCAGCAACTTTGTGAAAATTAATATTTGTGTCATTCTCAAAACTTTTGCCCACAGCTGTAGATCATTTTTCCGGCAAAAGGCATGCCAGTGGATGGTGTTGATGCACACAGAACACATTAGCATCAGCTAGACCATATTTAATAGTTGTTACACATGAACTATGATTTGATTTCAGTAGATGTAAAGAATTTTAAGGAAGAAGTTTGGTTTAGAAGATTTGTAGAATATAATGAACTGCAATATCTGATTTCAGGCAGGAAATCCCAGATGATGACCTGGTAAGAGGTATCTTCTCTGAGGCATCGAGTGACTCTGAACCCTTCAGCGCCCCGCCGTGGGCGCTCTCTGGACAGGTCAACCTCGCCACAAACTCCCCGGGAACCCCAGACCGAGCTCTGAGAGTTCATCTTTCCACAGAGCTCATGGCTGAGGGCAAAACCAAGGAGCTCATCTTCCTCATGGGTAAGAGTCTGAACCAGCGTGTCCACAGGGGTATTTTTGGACGTGAGGGGTTGCGCCGCTTCCCAAAATTGGACACTTAGGCATAGGACAAGGCAGTAGCACAACAGATGATTGACAGGTGCTCTCCAAACGGAAACCATTACAGGCTGCTCCTCCTACAACTGTGCAAACACTGGCTGTACCTGAATCAATGTTTGACTTCATCATGTCTACTCCTGGATTTCAAACCAGAGTCACATGGCAGCTTGTTAAGAAACATTTGGCTATATTACAAAAACAGTTCACCAAAATGTGTTTCTGAAAACATTTAAGCTGAGTAGTATGTCCTGCAGCTACTGAATCTGTCTTTGTCTAAGGTCAACAATGGTTGGTTTAAACAAGTTTTTGGTAGTTTCTATGGGCGTCAAGTGGTGTTTGGACACACTTAATTTGCAGAAAGTAGCCAAGACCTGACCTTTATGCAAATAGAAAGCAGGCAAAGCCACACCTCACCTCTTAAGATAGGTCACATCGCTGCCAGAATGCATTGCAGGACTGAATACATAAGTAATGAAAAGGACGCGTTGAAACAACATATCCTGTGGAGATGTGCCCTCTTTAAATCATTATTATTTAAAAATGTTTTTCTTTCAACAAATCTTAAAACAGGAACACATTTAAAGTGAACCGATTAGAAGAACAGAAGAAGAAGAATCTTTCTCCTGCCATCAAAACCACAAAAACAGACCATCTAGTTTTCATCCGAACATCACAGGTCTTGGTGTCTTGCAGGTGCGACTTTGGAGGAAACGTGTCAACTAGCAGCCGGCTACCAGAACATCGTCCCAGTGAGGTCATCGGGAGGTCAGATGACTCTGCTTGACCTGTCGGCACCTTTTCTGTTCAGAGGCAGGAAGAGATACTACGGGTAAGTGATAAGCCTCACACAGTTTTAGAGTACAGGTTCTGCTTTGTTAAGAAATGTGTTTGGTATCCAAATGCACTGTATAGTAAGTAGGACATTTTTCAGTGTAAAACTGAACATATTCCAGTGAGCTAAAACATTATGACACTCTGATGAAGCAGATACCTTGATTATGAAGTCAGTTCTCGTAGTGTCAACGTCTTGGATGTGGGTCAAATAGCAGGTGTAAAGACCTGAGCATCTATGACAAGGATCAAATTGTTATGAACACACAACGGAAAATTAGAACATCTCAGAAACTGCAAAAGCTGTGTGGTGTTTTTGGTCAGCAGTGGTGAGCATCTACTGACACTGGTACAAAGAGGGCCAAACCACGAGCCGGTAACAAGGTAACTGTGGCTTTAAGTTGCCAAAAATTGTAATGATGGTAACAAAAGGGATGTGTCATGATGCGCAGTGCATCACCCTGCTGCATAGAAGGCTACATACAGTATGTGTGGATATAGGTTTGACACCTACCAAAACACTGCTTCCAACCAGGTTTTCAAAACAATAGTACTTCATGATTGCAGTGGACTTCTTAGCAGAATAATGCGTCCTGCACTGTTACTGATCGGCCAACATATCCCCTGATACTTAGAGATCAGCGAGAAAATAATATTAAGCAGATAATTCAGCAGTTGGGTTTGTGTATTGTGTAGCATAGTGTAGCATCTCTGATTATGAAAGTCAAGTTTTCTTTTGTAGCAGACTGAGTAGCAGAACATTCTATAGCAACACAGAGAATCCAAAGACCCTTTCTCACAGCTGTAGATTTGGTAAGAAATCATTTCAGGAAACAGCTAACCCAAAACTCACATCTATATGGAACATCTGCAGACCCACTATTTTCGCTACACTTTTAAACGCTGTGCTCCGTAAAAGACCGTCTTACTGTTCACATGTCCATAGAGCCCCAAATGCCAGACACACAATCTGCGACAGTTGCAGCAACTTCCTCTCATTATAATTTTTCTGTGTGTGTGTGTGTGTGTGTGTGTGTTGCAGGTGTAAGCGGTGCTCTGAGGCTGCAGTGAGGGAGCCGAGTGCTGAGGGAGTCGAGGTGATCGATGAGAAGATTGTTGCAGAAGGTGAGGCAGAGTTTGACTTGATTTACTGGACTGTCAGCGGAAACTGTGGAGGTGGAGAACAGACAGGAAACAGCTCACACTAAATTGTCACTGTTTTCAGCTTGTTGTACTGCCGCATATGGCCAATAAGATCCATTTTTGCGTCTTCAATATATGTATGTCCCTCTTTTGATGTCAGAATAGCTTCTATTAATCGGGGTATACAAATAGGACTCTTGATGGTGTCCTGTGGTGTTGCGATGTTGGCAGTGAGCCCTTGGGTGCTGTGGGTTGTGGGGTGGGACCTCTGTGGATCAGGTAATGTGCTGGGGCATTTTAATGGAGGCTCGATCAGATTGGAATCTGGGGAGTTTGGCCAGTTCTTTGAGCCATTGTTGAGCAGATTCTGCAATGTGGCAGAACCACTGTCCTGCTAGGAAAGGGTGCTGCTGTCTGGGAGTATGGTTGCATTTTTTTCTTCTGTGAGAATTTGCAGCTTTTGTGTTTTCACTGTTTGAACTGTACAAAACATGACATATTAGGAGTTTACCTTGGAGTACAGGGAGACTGAGCATTTTGGGAATTCTCACAGTTTTCAATAATAAAACTAGTCATTAGGTGCAGCTTTAGTTTTCTGACATCATAGGTTCTGGTCCTTGAAAACACCAAGAAACTGGTCACATTATTCTAACAGTAATGTTTGTCGGCTGTTGTTATTGTGTTGTCCTGTTTCAGTTGTATCTTTTTTATCTTTTACTTTCCTCCTAACTCTGCAGTTTCTGAAATGCTCTGGTTGATCTCAGGTCTGCTTGAGCTGCAGTTTTCCACTGAAATAAATCATATGTTAATGTCTCTGGCCTTCTGGTCTGCAGCTCTCGGCGTTCAGCTGCTGCAGTTCGTCCTGCTGATGAAGCTGGAGCTGCAGGATGCTACTGACACCCTGGAGGTCTTCCTGTGGAGACACGCTGTGAGTTTCAAATCACATATAATGTCCTGATCATTCCAGATAGGATGAGATTAGCTCACATGGAGAAAGGAGATAATCAGAGTTTATTACCTATTTCACAGTTCCATCCACCCATCCATCCATCATCTATACACTGCTTTATCCTCTGTTTGGACATGAGGGGGCTGGAGCCTATCCCCAGCTGACTTTGTACAAACTGGACAGGTCCTATTTTACAGTTTTGGGGTCAAAAGTTTGAGACCACATCAAAACGTGGAAAGTTTGAGCATTTCAAAACATTTCAAAAGAACTTCCTACTTGTAAAATATATATGTATATTAGACTCCACTCTATTTGTAGGTCAGCAAATAAACTGAAGGAGATTAGTGCAGTGATCATGATAACTCCAATGTACAAATTTCAGATCTCCTTGATCTCCTCTCCATTGAAGCAGTGTTCAGAGGACACTCAGCTGAATTTCACTCATCAGAGGCTTGTTCAGCTAAATCGACCTGCAGTCGTTGTTTACCTGTTAGAAATATGACTGTGCCTCAAGTTTACAGCAGAACATTGTTCACTAAGTAGCACTGTGATAGTCGGATCCATGGCATCAGAACTAAGTGTCAGGAGTCTGATTGTTATTCTGAGCCAAAAGGAGGTTTCTCAGCATTAAATCATGACTAGACTGAAGGGTTCTGAGAAGGCAGTGCATGGAGCTGTAAAACACATTGTGGAGACTGGATCAGTTGAATCCAAAGCAGGATCAGACAGACCAATAATGAGCACAAACGATCAATACATCAATCTTCACTGAGAGACAGAAAAGAAACTTTCTGTCTCTGATTACAACATCACAGATACAGAACTCACATAACAAAGAACACAAGGCTCTAATCAGCAAAACTTTCTTCTGTGTAGTCGTGGTCTCAGAGGACAAATAGCTTCTCTAAACCTCTTGTCAGGAGGGAAACAAGATCTAAGTGGGGTGTGCTGAGACAGAGCAGCATTTCATAGTAGATGATGGTGGGGATACAAACATGTGACTGGAAACATTCAAGTCAGGAAATGTTTTGCTTCTGGACACCTGTAGTGAATGTGCTCCACCCTGATCAAGAAGCTCTGTTCTCCTGAGACATGCTCCCCCCTCTGGTTTGCATTTTTGTAGAGAAGGTTTCGTACTGCAGCAGGATAACGAGCCAAAACACACTGAAAAGCTTTGACGTGAAAACCAAAGAAACCAAGGAGAGCTGACTGTCACTGACTTTCCTCCACAGTCACGTCCTCAACCCCAACATCGTCACGTTATTGTTATGAAACGTTTTGAGTTAAATTCAAAATGAATGCAAAATAGAAATATCTTTACTGTTGGTCGTAGTCGTTTGGACTCCACTGTACATTAGTGCAGCACATCAGGTGTTACTTTCTGTGTCAGTCTATCTACTACAGTGGCAGGACGTCGTTCTCTCTGGCCATCAATAAAGGTGTCTAAATTTAATCTGCAGATGAAACAAGGAAGGAGGACATAACGAGCAAAAAGCACAACAAACATGTTCATGACTCTGTCTAGTGGTAATTAGTGAATTAATCAGCAACTATTTTGATAACCGATTAACTGCTGAAGACACTTTTCAAGAAAATACGATTCCTTGTGTGTTTTCTCCTGTTTGTCCTGTAGAATAGTAAAATATTATTTGGGGATGTTTTTTGTTCTAACAACTATTTTCGATATTTTTATACTTTGAAGAGAACAAACAATTAATTAGTCAACTGAGAAAAATGATCCCACCAGAACCTTTGTGGACAGGGAACTTAGAAGAACATGGACACATTGCAGACATCAAATAAGCTTCCTAAATGTATAATAATAATAACAGTAAACTCTGGATATTGATGGCTATGTATGTTGTAGATGTCAATAATAAATGTAGACTGGTAACTGTTCTCTCTTAACTCGGGTTGCATGTTTCATCAGGAGTCGTTCTTCAACGTTTCTGCAGAAGACGCAGCAGCCAGTGAAGAGGCTCAGAACAGCATCTGTCAAACCATGGAGTCCCTCTGTCCGGCAGGAGGCAGCATGGGTATGTCAGTGAACACCTGCAACAAATCACTTCAAAGAGCTCTACCTGCACCACAACACATAAAGTGAGACGGATTCATCAGTTTCAGGAATGGTTATGAGGCAACAGAAAAAGAATGACTAAAGTATGGAATAGCTGAAACATTCAAAATTAGATCACAAAGGGTCAGAGATGGCAGGCTAAGCTTTAACTGAGTATTCTGGTTTATTTCCACCTGCTGAAGGTCCTGTTAACATGGCTGTTGTGTCTCTGTATGAGTCATGCCAGTTTCACACTCTCTCTGTCATAGAGATTTAGTGCAACAAGACGTACAAAAAAAAGATATCAGCTTTTAAAACAACACGTTTACATATGATTAATTTTAATCATTTGGGGCTGCAAGGTGGCACGATGGTTAGCATCATTGCCTCGCAGCTAGAAGGTCACCCATTCGCTTCCTGGTGAGGAGTTTGCATGTTCTCCCCGTGCAGCGTGGGTTCTCTCTGGGTTCTCCGGCTTCCTCCCACACAGTCCAAAAGCATGTTGAGGTTAATTGGTGATTCTAAATTGTCCGTAGGTGTGAATGTGAGTGTGCTTGGTTGTCTGTCTCTAAGTGTAGCCCTGTGATAGACTGGTGACCTGCCCAGGGTGTCCCATAGGATCGGCTCCAGCCCCCCCACGACTCTAGTGAGGATTGAGTGGTGTATAGATAATAGATGGATTGATTTTAAAAAATTGTGTTTGAGTCTGATCAAATTTAATACAGAAATTAACTTTGTCGCAAATCTTTTCAGTCTGATGGTGAGGTCGCATTTATAGCCACCAGAATCAAGAGACAAGGAGCTAAATGAAGTGAAAGACAAGGATGTAGGCAGAGAGATATCAAGACGTCCTGAATGACACAGTTTATGCAAACTGTTGCTGCACATTGTGAGGCTGGTAATAACAAACTTAGAAAATGTCCGCGTGTAGGGATGAAAGGAGTCCCCACTGTGGAATCACAGCTGGTCTGACTCAGCAGAGGTACACTTTGGGTAAAAGCCTGACATTTACTTCACTCATGTCACACAGCATCCTTCCACTATCAGTGTGTAATCATTTTCTAAATCCCCTCTGCTGTGGCAAACTACAACAATCATGCTGTAATGTGAAGATTGGGATTGTGCAGTAAGGCACAGTGTTTGGTTCTTTTGGTGAATTATCCATTTTAACGACGATGCTTATCTCCCTGCGTGCAAATGTTCCACTAACACAATTTTCTCACAAGCAAAACCTTTGTTTACAAGATAAAGTGAAAACTCACACTTAAAGCTGCACTGTGGAGTTAAGTGCTTTTTTTTTTGGCTTGTTTTAGCCCTTCGCTTGCCAGAAACTGCAGCGTGTTTGAAGTTGTTCTCAAGTTTGTAACTTTGGATCGTCTGTTTGTCCTCAGGCCAACGTCCGTGGCTCGACGTGTGTCTGACGGCATACCGAGTGGAGGATGATGGGGGACGGAATCAGACCTGCTACCAGATCTGTCACACCACCGTCATCAAACCCCCCTCCACACAGTCGGACCCTGACCCCGCCTGAACCGCCTCCGTCTGCAGGGTCAAAGGTCACCAGTAAGCCAAAGACAAAACCAGTTTACACCAGTCGCAGTGTTGATCATTTCTTATTTGTATTTATTGTGTAAATGTGCATAAAAGTAAGACATGAATGTTCCTGTACAACTCACATAATGACTCTAAATAAAAGAATAAAACAATAATGTTTCATAGATTGCTGATATTTTTGCAGGTGGGCCTGTGTGAGGGATTAACCGCACAATCCTCTCTGATACAGGAAGGTTGTGATTCTCACCGTCATTGCAGCTCTGGAGCTTTCTGAGCTCTTATCCAGAGTAACTGAGATCAGTTTATTCAGGTTTCTTTAGATGTGATTTGTTTATTGTGAGGTCATAATGCATAGGCTCATCAGCATTCATGTCACAAATTATCCACCAGGAATGTTGTGTTGAATGCTTGTTTCAGTTTTTTGTACAAACACATCAAACTCATTCCAAACCCTCTCTCACTTGAACCCATATTGAGTGAAAGCTCATGTTTGGAGTGAGGCCATCTAATCACATGTTTAGTTATGTGGAGATGATGATCACATTCAAGCTGGGCATCCATTCATTCCATGGTATCTAATTTTAATTTCTAAGTTCTCATTTCTCCTGGGAGCTCAGTGTAAGCCACCAAATCTGGGAATCCAGCAACTTTTCAACAGGTGTCTGATGTGGTGTGGCCTGGAACACACAGTCACTAATTTATCTTCAAGAGCCGCTGTACTGATGTCTCTGCTTTGAGCCATTTTTAGCTCATCAAATAAAACACCATAC